AATTAAATTTTCATGCAGTTTGATACATTTGCTTCATTTAACGCTGCCTGTAACTAATGTTTTCAGACACCAAAGCTCTCAGTCAGTCTTTACAATGTCCCTTAATTCCACTGTATCGTCAAGGTTTCATTTTGAACTTCTTTATCTCAGTTCAGCTGTGATGACACAGACAGAGATTTCACAACTTCTATAAGCACCCAGCGCGCCGCGTCACAGGTGCAATAAACTGTTGTTCATCTGCAAGCTTTAAGTGCTTGTTAGCATCAAAGCTTTGTTGGATAAAAAGAGATGGAACGGTGCAAAGGGAGGGGGGAGGGGAGCAGTATTCAGTTGGTTGCAACCTCACCACTAGATGCCACTAAATCCTACAAACTGGTCCTTTAACATTTTTATCTTATTCTGAAACTTTTCTTTTGCTCGTCTTCATAGATTATCAGATCATCAATTTTTATTATCGCCGCCCTGATGAGTCACTGCAAAGTCAAAACCAGTTATTGCTGTAAAACGATAAATATGCCCAACCTAAATAAAGGCTTTGCTCCTCGCTCTGACCGAGAGTCTGAATGTCTTGATCCATCTGGTAGGTTGTTAATCACCTGGGCTGACTTCAACAAGGATCATTATTAAGTACATCTACTGTGTCTGTACTACAGATTACTAAACACTCATAACTAACAAATCAATTGAGCCGTGAATGTCCCTCCTTCTTCTCTTACCTTGATGCCAGTTGTTCCTGTAGGCATCTGTGCAATGTCGTAGACCAAGCTGCTTTTGACGCGCTGCACATAGGGATCTGTGAATGCCCTGCCATGAAACCTCTTGAAACCTTGCACTGTGTTCTTACAGTTTGTGACGACCTGTGGGAATAAAGATTAAAAACACTAGACATTAAATACACGCAAAAAAAAAAAAAAAAACCATTGTGCATGTCCTGACTTTTGAAAGCTTGCTCTAATATTGATGCTGATAATATCTGATGTGTGCTGCACCCACTGCCTGGTATTGATCATATCCACTGTGGAGAAAACACTGCTCAGGTTTTGTGATGTATCCCCCCCCAAAAAAAAACATACCTGGCTTTTAGCAGCAGCACCGATCGATCGATTTCGGGGTCCAAAAGAAACACATGCTCTAAAAACAGAAAACACAATTCAGTTCACCATGATGCAGCTTCGTGTAGGGTTGATGTAAACCCGGTAATAAAACGCGTTTGTGGTCGATTTCACGTAATAATATGTTTTTATTGTTTGCTCATGTATGATCTAACACTCCTTTATCGCTTCATTTAACGGACTACGGGTCTGGAAATGAGGCACAATGAGCGGATCACTGTAGTCGTTTTGACAGCCAGAATCCGGCCTCCTCCTATCATGCGCTCATTCACGCCTGCAGTAAAAAAAAATAAATAAATAAATAAATAAATAAATAAACCTCCATCACCTGACGTGCCCGGTCAATTACCAGACTGTTTAGATAACCTCGACGGTATCTTTGTAGCCAGACAGCACCAGGAGGGTTTGATCACGTGAATCTGTTTCGGAGGTTTCTTCACTCACAATAGGTTTCTGAGGCTAACGTTAGCCTTTAGCAATCACACGCCTGTTTCCTGTTGTGAAATCTGTTAGCATGCTACCTTAGCTTTATAGGGAGGACACACACACAAAAAAAAAACTCATTCGCACCTTTTTAATATTATATTAAATAACGCACGCATACTGCAACGTGCCCTGTAACTCGTACTTACGGTGTACATCGGTCGCTGTATTCATTAGCGACAGTCTCGATCCCTCCGGCTCTGGCTACCGCTACATAGCAGTTCATGTACCCGACGTCAAACCCGACGACTGACATCTTCGCTGGCTCTAAGTGAACTTTAGAGTTGAAGTAAAACAACGCGGCAGAGCCAGACAAGTGCGGCTTAAAACAAAAAAAAAAAAAAGGTGACAGCAGCAGCTACGGTGTGTTTTTGCAGTCAGTGGACGGTGATACAGGCTTGTTCTTGTTCCATGAAGCTGAGCAGCAGCATGCGGTACTGTTACTGTTCACCGGCTGCGCGTTCAGGAATCTTCTATCGGTCCCAGCGACCAATAGCGTCCGACTGCGGAGCGCTACGGCCCGGGGTCGAGCGCCGCCCGGCGGCGGGGGAAAGGCGTCGCAGCAGCAGGGTTGGAGCTTTTTACGTGAAGCTGAAGCTGCCATTTCAGTGTTTTTAATAGATCGTGTTAGTTATTAATGATGCAGAGCTGCTGATACTACTGCTTCCCCACTGTGGGACTATTAAAGGAATATCTTTTCTTGCTCACCTGCCTTTCTCTTGTACAGTGTTTATATTATATTATATTATTTTTCGTACTCTTACTGTCTTTATACTGTTTTTTTCTCTGTCCACTTTGCTGCTGTGAGTTTGGTATTTCCCCATTGTGGGACTATTAAAGGAATATCTTATCTTATTCTACTGAGAACCAAGGGAAAAAGTGTCTTCCAATTTTTTTTTGTCTCAACCTGAAAAAAAAAAAAAAAAAGTTCCCCTCATCCAATCCTAACACTTGAGATATCATTGGAAAGGCCAGGATGTCCTCTTTTGAGCTCATTTTTAGCAGTTAGCAGTCTTAGTAGGGTAGCTAAAATAAGTCAAGAGATATAGCCTAATAAACCAATGTCCACTACAGAGTACATAAATGAATAGGCTGGGTCTCAGGAGGATATCATTGTTTTAAATGTGATTTGATAGGCTTGTGGCAAAGTTTGTCTCACCAATTAAGCATTTAAGCAGGCTATCATTGACAAAAAAAATTACCTTATGTAAATATATGCATCATTGATTCATCTGTTCTTTCTTTTTAGTCTAACATGTCAGACATTTTCATACTTTCCAAGATCCAAGGTGGCATCTTCTTGTTTTGTTCAACCCACAGTCCAAAACCCAACAATATTAAATTTGTTAAAGACATTAAAACAGAGAAAAGCTGCAAATCATCACACTGGAGAGGATGGAACTACAAATAGGCATTTTCTTGATGAATGACTTGAGCATTAATCAAAACTGTACATAATTAAATTAGTATAACTTTTAAAATGGTGGCATTGAATTGGACACCCACCTTAAACATTAACAAGCATTAATCCAACCACAAACAAAGAGCTGGCTGAATGAAACCAATCAAGACTGATTTCACATAAATATTGTTTATTGGTGAAACGTACAGAGTTGGAATTAATAACAGAGGGCAGCTTTCAGAAAGGTGGCAGGAGTTTATTCATCATTCTCAAAGTCAGCCAGGTTCTTCCTCTTGCCCTGTTCATGGACACTGTTGCCCCAGGTGTATGTCACGTACATGACGGTCATTGCTACAAAAGCAAGATCATAAAAAAAGAAATTAGCAACAAAGACAATCCCTGTACAGTATTTTATTGTATTTAGCCACAACTTTCAGTGCAATCTAATACCTACAGAGATAAAGGAAATATTAACAGCATGTTCCCAAATTTAATTAAAATCCTTTCTTCTACATATTGAACAGACTGCAGACCTTTCTTTACTGCACTTGTTGTAAATGTACTTTGATGCTTTAAGTATTGTTGCAGGGAACAAACAGGTCCATCACATGACGGAGATCACGTTACACGCAGGGTGTAAAAAGGCTACTGACATTGCGTCAGATGAAAGAAGAGCAAATAAACCAGTCTCAGACTCATTATTTCAGAGCTGCTTTCTGTATTTTTAGAGGCACAAAACAACTTGAATCTGCAGAAAAGTCGAGTATCTGGTAGGATTCAGACTTCAATGCGTAAGTACTGGCAGATGATCCAACAGGCCATTGCAACGGTGTAAATCAACAGGATTGCTTTATAGGAATAATCTACTATTGTATAATATTCTCTTGTTTTATTTCTGTATCAATGTGATATAGGATATTATCCATATCACCCATTCCTACCTGAAAACAA